CCAACTTCCTTCTGCCATTGCAGTTGTAAAGTGTGTTGCTCACCAAAAGCCCTATGATGATGTTACAAAAGGAAATGCCTTGGCAGATGCTGCTGCCAAGCATGCGGCCCTTTCCGGGTCTCTGACTCCACCTGAGTCTGTTTTTGTCTCGCAATTGGTTTTATAGTCCCCCTCCATAGCTGCTACCCCTCAGGATTTAGCTCTCATGCAAGATTCGGCCCCCAAGTCTGAAAAAAACCGATGGGAGGCGGGATGGTTGTTCCTTACATCTGGATGCCTTGTGGTGCTCCCCTACTGGCCGCTTGGTGGCGCCCAAGGCCTTACTCCCCTACCTTGCCCCTGTGGCCCATGGAATGGCACACGTGAGCAAAGGGGGGATGATTGCATCAGTACTGCAACATTGGTATGCCCCAAATTTTTCTATATTGGCACAGCTGTCTTGTAATTCCTGTCCTATCTGCCTAGCCCACAATAGTGGCAAACCGGTATGAACCAAGCCTGCTGGGCATCCAGCCCCTTGGGAACCTTTTGAAAATATCCAGATTAATTTTATCAGTATGCCTAAGTGTTGTTCTTATAAATATGTTCTTGTTTTTGTTTGTATGTATTCTGGATGAATAGAGGCCTACCCTTGTGTAAAGGCTGATTCCCAAAAAATTGTTAAAGGACTTTATTCCCCAGTTTGGCCTACCTGTCTCAATTAACAGCGATAGAGGCACCCACTTTACAGGCCAAATCATGCAACAGATTTGCAAGGCCCTCAATATCTCCCAGCACTTGCACTGTGCCCACCATCCCCAAAGAGTGGGGGCAGTGGAACGAAAAAATGAAAAACTAAAGAACAAAATCTCCAAGATCTGCACTAAAACTGCTTTAAAGTGGCCTGATGCCCTGCCCCTTGCTCTCATGTATATAAAAAGCACTCCTTCATGTAAACACGGTCTATCCCCACATAAAATCCTTATGGCCAGACCCATAAGAATGCCGGTATCCCCTCCCCCACTCCCTCACCACTTGGACCTGCAACTAAATGATAATACCGTTATGGCATATTGCCAGACTCTAGTAAGGTGCGTTAGGTCTCTTCACTCACAGGTCCAAAGTGCCCTGCCCGATCCAGCTGATACCCCGTGCCACCCCTTGCAGCCAAAAAATTGGGTCTACATCAGGGTACATAAAAAAAACGTCCTTGGAACCTCGCTGAAAAGGCCCTTACCAGATTCTGCTGACCACCCACACCGCGGTCAAGCGCAAGGGGCTAACTAACTGGGTCCAGGCCTCCCACTGTAAACAGACTTTGCCACCCTTGGACCCAGACGCCAAAAAATTCCATCTTGCAAATCCCGTCTTGGAAAGCAACCCGGGGGACAGTGACTGTAATCTTTCCCTGGGCCCCGACAAGAAACCCAGATATAACCTCAGAAGCAAAAGGCCGTGAGCCCTCCAGCCAACGTCATTTCATAATCCGCCTTTATAGTCAGCTAAGGCTTTGGCTTATTAATAGAGGGGAAACAAGGCCATAATAACGCCTTTTCAAAAGTCCAGTAAAAAGCCTAGCGCCCACTGGCTCCCTGACTGACCCATGACAGTCAGCCATGACTGACCCATCCGCAAGAATAAAGAAGTCGGCCATGGTGCAAAAATGGCTTATGCCCTCCATTTGGTTCATGTGTGAAACCATGCTTCTACTACTAATATTAAACTTTCATGACACCCTGATGTTTTTTTGGGCCTCTGGAACCAGCGCCACTCCCCCAGGGAATCCTTCCCCTTTGACCACAAAATCATGTACCATTGAACTTTTGAACTTTGCCAGACCCCTTCAAAAAACCCCACTGTCCTCCCACCCCTGGTATGGTGCAAAACCCCTACCTTTCCGGGAAAAAAAAAATGCTCGGTCCCTGGACATCGGTAAAACTGAATCCCATATAGGGTACCAGGGTAACACGTTTTTTGACTATTTGCAAACTATCGCAAATACCAGCCATCTGTCGGACTGCTGGATTTGTGCCCACGGTCCGAAACATGCAGGGCATGGGTGCCCTCTTTTTGGCATCCCTAACAATAATTCTTGGACTCTGGGAAAAAAAAAAAAAACATACCTGGCTCAGACAACTGCTAAAGGCATACCCCCCACCTTTGCCTGGTATATAAAAACCACCCCAAAAGGAACATCTGCTTTGTGTGTTAGGGTCAATCAAACATTGGGAACCACTCCAGTGGGAGCCACCCAAAATTGCCAATATATATTAAATTACAAAAAAAATAGAACCTTCAAGTTAATTGGTTCCCCATCCACCAAAACCTGGTGTAAGAACCTTAATTGTTATTCTTACTCAATCCAATTAAATGGCTCGACCTTACAGTTATTTGACAACGGGTGGATTCTTAGGCCAAATTCTTCCCTTTGTAGCACTAACACCTCCCTTCTATTGAATGACCCCCCAGCCTCCACCCTATGGGCCAATCTGGTGTGCAAAAATGCTCTAATAATGAATCTAATATCTGGAAGGGCACCTGTAAGTTCAAAGGAGAAGGTGCCCTATACCCTGCCATCTACCAAAAGGGTGTGTACTGGCTTTGCGGAAAAAAGGCTTATAAAATCTTGCCCTTTAATTGGACTGGCACCTGCAGCCTAGGGTTGGTCAGCTCTGGTGGGTCTATTCACAAAACCCGCCTGGGACACTGAGTAAAAAACTACCGTAGCATCTCCAACAGCAAACACTTTTGGGGCATAGCCTTCTCGCAATATGGGGTCAGTGTGGCCTTTGATAAACTCAAAGCCCTATCAGAGGCTTTGGAAACCTTAGGCAACACAACTGCCAGTGCCCTCCACTCCCTAAGCGGCGAATGAAGTCAAGTTCGTAAAGTGTCCCTTCAAAACCAAATGGCATTGGATTTTTTGCTAGCCGCAAAGGGGGGTGTGTGTGTGCACTAATTAAAAAAACATGCTGTGCATACATCAGTAATACCTCCCAAATTATAAAGTGGAATGCTGCAGCCATAAAGGAAGCAGTAAAAAAGGCTAAACAACCAAACCTGGAATGATCCCTGGTCTTGGCTTACTAACATATTTTCTTCATGGTCTCTTCTTTTAAAGCAAGTATTTTTGGGGATTATTGTTGCATTATTGTGTGTTGTTGCTACATATTTAGTGTGCAAATTGGGTGGTTGTTTTTGTAATTGCTTGCCTGGTTCATCAGTGAAAATACCTAGGCCTCCCACTAGGGAGCAGGTGGCATTAATAATTGTTAACAAAATGTATAATAAAAGTTGGAATAAAAAAAGGAAAAGGAAGAGAAAAAGATTAGTGGGCTCATGAATATAAAAGTTTAGGCCAAGGTGATGCCAAATAGGCATCAAAGGGGGGATTGTTGTAGAAAGATTTCTAGGCCTAAACTTTGGTTGGATCAGGTAGGCCTATATTTTGGCTTGGGCCTGAACATTAGTCAAGTTAACTGGAAGAAGGGGGTTTTTGGAGAAAAGGGGCTTTTTGAAGGTAGGGTGAAGAAAAAGTACAGAAGAGGAACTATCTATAATCACAAGGCTGGTGATTCATAACTGCCCACTGTTAGTTTTAGGGGAAGCATGTAACTGCAAAGGGCAAACTGAGAATAACAGGAAAGCTTGCTATGCTATATTCCCTTTTATGGATATTGTATTCCAAATATGTCAATAATGTTGATAAGAAAGTATGTATTACTAATTGTGGTTTTATCCTATATAAGCTCCCGTATTTCATCTGTCGGGGGTGGGGGGGTGGGAGGGGTTCGGCTGCCTTGGCTGACTCCCCCATGCATGTTTGATTGATCAATAAAGGAGACTCAGGCTGTCTGATCCAAAATCAACCGTGTGGTCAATTTTCCACAACAATGGCAAAATGATTGATTTTGTGGGATGAAGGCCAGTTTGCAGGAACTAAGGGCACTGTATGGATTGTCATAGACGAAGACCCTAATTCTGCCTCCGTCATGCTGAGTACTACCTTGCTTACCAGACGGTCCCCTCCCAGGCTGCATTAGGAAGGTCCCATCCAGAACCCACTTGCTACCTCACTGGAGACATTCACCAGCAGCCACTTCCCCAAGAACCAAGACAGGTCCTATTCCTGTCAGGATGTTGCTTTCTCTCTAGAAGCCCACAACACATCTAGCTTCTATCATGTTCTCCCCCTTACTGGGGAAAAGTTTGCTTCTTATATCTGGCTTCCCCTTTCCCAGCAGGCCTTGCTTTTCATCTACAATTCCCATAAGAACTGGGAATCACATCTCCCAGAATTCCCTTGCTATGCTGGCCTGGCTCCAGGCCTGAGTTTACAGGGACAGCACACCCTGTTTCAAATGGTTATATATGACAAATAAGGGTCTAATTCTGCCTCCTTCATTTGTGGAGGAGTATTTTAGCACACAGCTAGTCCCACCGACTTCAATGGGGCTGCTTGCAGAGTGACGTACCCTTAAACATAAGTAACAAAGGCAGAATTGGGCTCTGAAATAGCATGAGTAGGCTAGATTGCATCTGGTCCCTACTAGATGTTCTACTGCCCCACAAGCAACACAGAGGATGGGATGGGAATCCCCAGGAACTGGCCTGTGGTTCTGCTCAAACCTGGGGAGAAGGAGGTGTAAGGAGCTTTCCCCATTTGTTTGGCCTGTATAAATACCAGACAGAATTTCAGTCTGTGCTCAGGGAGCTGCCTCCCTGCTCCCACTCAAAATCAGCAAGGAGGAAGGTGGGCTGGGGCTCTACCTTGCTCACCCAACATCCACAGAGCCAGCCAGACACATGTAAGAAAGTGAGCTGCATCTAGTAATGGAGTGTAGTTTTGTGGACACTACTTGTGCACCTCTCAGAGTTCCAGCAGATTTTCTAATAGACAGATAGGGATGTCAGCAAGAAAGATGGGAGTGGAATGGAGTTATCTGATCTGAAAGATTAATTCAACCAGATTCTGAAATAAGGACTTCAGCGGCCATGGAATTGGTAAACATTTGCCCATATTTATTTTTTAAAAAGCCACCATGTTACAGGTACTCCCTTCCATACAAGGTCCAGTATAAGAATGGAGTTCAAAGACAGTGTAATGATCAATGCAGGCAGCACCTCCACCAACAGGTAGTGCTGTGTCTTACCTTAGTGGTGTTGTCTTGTTTTGATATTATGTTGTCATCTTGGCTGGGGTGGAGATGGCGCTAGGAGAAAATTGAGTCCTGTGTGTGCTGAAGTTTTTATGTAGTGTCCCAAAAAATCCTTGTTGACCTGGAGGCAAATATTGTGCAATAAACGTGATTCAAATTCCTTCTCCTGTTCATTGAAGATGCAACTTGGCAGGCTGAACTGTCACATTATTTGCAGCACCCCAATACATCCTTTGATTTCTATAAGTGAGTAATACCGTAGAGTGGTGAGGGGATGTTTGCTATGTCTCTCCTGAATTATTCTTTCTCTCAAGCTTTTGCAAGCCCATAAATGGAAGGGAGGAAAAGGAGGGGAGAGAAATTAAACATTTAATATCCTCATGTTAGTTTAATTTAAGAATGATACAGATAGCACCTCTTTAAAAAAAAGACAAACTTTATTACAAATTGTACATCTTCTTTGGATCCTTCAGTATTATTTCAAACTATTTTAAAAGATCAGTGTTCAGAAAATTTTTAAAAATGATGAGTTTGGTACTTCCACTTAAAATTTAAAATACTGCTACATAATTAATGAAAATAGCTTGATGGTTTCATTCTGCACAACAATGGAAATTGGTAATGAGTTACAGATTGGAACTCACTACTACCCAGACACAGCCTTTGCAGAACTGTACAGAAATTTAAAAAAGCATTATTTAAATGTTGGACCAGATTCTGATCTCGTATACACTGGTGTAAATCCACTGTAGCCTCTCTAGATTTACACTGGTTTGCGGAGATCAGAATCTGAGCCAATGTCTTCACAAGGTTTTATTAAAAGCAATAGGAATTCTCATTTTACAAGTACCATGATGCGAATTTTCTCACTAGGACTTTATTCGGCTAAGCCCTGATCTCGCAACTGGATCTGCACAGAGCCCTACTAAAGTCAACTGGTCTTCACATGGGATGAAAGGGTTCCTCTGTAGATCCAGATCAATGGTGGCCAAGCTCTCCCATGAATCCAGTGGGACATACAAGTTTAACAGAAGGCAGAATTTAACCCAATGGGTTCTTCACAATGGGAACAAAGTCTGTTGCTGTGCAACTGTTTTCCTACCACAGTGATGCATATTATGGACAGCAAAAGTAGCATCTACTTCTTACACCTAAAACCATTAAAACCCATATCACTCAAAACCAGATACATGACATTACCGACGGAAAGTTAAATAATATCAACTTTGTCATATATATAGGTAGGATCATGAAACAGCATATTAATTGTTGAGCATTTGTACTTCCTATCAGGTGTTGCCATGGTTACACAGGCACAATGCCATGGACCTGAGTAGGGTTACACCAGTGTACACAACAGAAGAGTGTGACCCGGTGGCTTCAGCTTGGAAGCGAAGATCCTATGAATCTGAACCATGAGAAAAGGGATAGTGGATCTGGAATAGGTGAACAGAGGGAAAGGAGACAAACCGAGGTGACCCACTGCCCAGACCAAAGAAAAACTATGATTGGGGGAAATCAAAAAGACTACTCCTTCCATGAACTCTGGGGACAAAAATCACATCAAGGGGGCAGGAAGGAGTCAAAAAGCTCTGCCCACCTCCCTTTTGCACTGGCTTGAAGAGCAGAGTGCAGCTCCCCCTTCCCAGCTGCTATTTCAAGAGATAGTGTAATGTGCTCATTCTCTGTGCACTTGGAAAGGGTGTATGTGTGTGAGAGAGAGAGACACTATCTGAATGTCAGGAATAGCTAACAGAGGTCAACTTGGATAGCTGATGAAACCTAGAAGAGGAGATCTGGTCTGCGGCTGGCTAGTAGCCCCATGGCTTATTTAGTTGCCTGTGACTATGTAGCATTATTGTCCTAAATTACTAATGGGGAGACTTTCACAGGGCCCAAATGGCAACTAGGCACCAACCCCCATTACAGTTGCAAACTGCGATTTATGCCTTTCAAAAGTCTTCCCCAAAATGATTTGGAATTAAAATATCCTGTTTCCCTAACAGGATGTTACATTGAACAAACTGGACTGAGTGGTCACCAGACATTTAAATTCAATTTAGCAATTCACTGAACATCATAATTTTTACAAAGGTAAAAATTTCAAAATAAATCGACACTGAACAATTCCTCCTTGATTTGGCAGAATCACCATCACAATTCCAGACTATAAAGGACTGTTTCTCGAGGTCGTTAGGACTATAATTAAAGTAATAGATTTTAACATGTTGAATTACTGCCTATCTTAACAGGCAGCCTTCACAGTGGGTCCATAATGGTAGGCCTGTCTTTAAAGATTCCAGAACTATGGGATTATTTTTAGCCATTCTTTTATAAAATGGGCCAGATTTTCTGCTGGCATAATGCCACTGAGTTCAGTGGAGTGACACCAGCAATATGTTGGTTTACACTGCATAGAAAACAACTCAGGTGGCCAATTGCAGCTGAAGGTACTCAGCCCCTCAGACCCACTAATCTGACTGGAAGTTCACACAGTAGATATTGGATAATTGTGGTGGAGGATGTGTAATGCTTTCTGCTATTGTACAGATCGGAGAAGTTGCATCACAGGAATCCTAAGGGGTGTAAGGTGTGCATTATGGAAGAAATGTCAGGGCACATCAATGTTTAGGCCTAACAATCTCAACAGTATCCTTCTAAAAGTGCCTTGAAAATCAACAGAAGTATCTATGCACAGTAGAAGTTGAGTTGCTAACAGTGCATGTTTCTGAAACCGGGCAAAGTCACTTTCCCATGGGTGTAAATTAACTCATTTTGGCCTTGATTAATGTGCTTCACCAAGTTTTTCTCAAACAGCAGTGGGTGGTAAGCACCCATGGTGCAGGCGCGGTCGTGGTATCTCTGGTAATAGTGGCAGATATCTGTCTGTCGTTTGGAAGGGAGGAATTCATAAACATCCACTTCATCACAGAGGGTCATCATGATCACAATGCCTGGCAGGGGGAGAGCAAGAACCAGTTAGTCAACCTGGGAGCAAACAGGTTATGAAACAAACCATCTTCTTGCTTAAATGTGAGGCAGGAGGTTTAAGCGAAATATCCCCTTCTGTCTCCAAAGATGGGAGGCGGTGGGGTTTCCCTGCAAGAAGTGTTCTTCGTAATGTTCAGACCACATGGAGAGGGAGAAAAGGCTATGACTGGAGGAGGCTATTTTCTGAAGCTCCTTGAAGTCTGCACAATTGTTGAGCCACTCGCTCATTCACATACAAATTGGTTACACCTCCAAAATCACAGATGCTGTGACTGGCATCTGCATCCTGCTAGACACAGCACAATCTGCCCCATTAAAGCCTCATGAAGATACTGTGTGACAGCAATATGCCATGAGTTATAAGATCAGCATTAAAAAATGCTACTACTTCTTGATAGCTGTGTGAAAACTTGCTGAGTAGCCAAGCATGCACTATATCAGCGGTTCTCAAACTGTGGGTCGGGACCCCAAAGAGGGTCACAACCCTGTTTTAATAGGGTCAGTAGGGCTGGTTTAGACTTGCTGGGGCCCAGGGCTGAAGCCAAAGCCAGAGCGCAACCACTCATGGCTGAAGCCAAAGCCTGAGGGCTTCAGCTTCGGCCATCGGTGGCGGGGCTCAGGTTACAGGTCCCCCGCCCGGGGCAGCGAGGCTGGGGCTTTGGCCCCCTCACCTGGGGCAGTGGGACTGCGGCAGACTCAGGCTTCGGTCCTCCCTCCTATTTAACTTGGCCAAACTTGCCAGTCTCAAGTCTAGGGTAGGGTTTTGTGTTGTGGGGGAGGAGTGCAACACCTCACCTAATGAATGCACAGCCATTAAAATCACAAGTCTAGAGAGGGCTTGTTTTGCAGTTCAACACCGCTGCACAGTATGCTACTGTTCAAGCTCAAAGCAATTTCCCTAGATGGAGCAGTGTTGCCCTCATGTGTCTTATGTGAAGTATACAAGCAATTCTAGAATGCAATTAATAATGATAATCATCCAGATTCCGTGGTATGTTCTGTGCAAAGCAACTGTTAGAGAGGAAACAATTAATCCAGGTTTACAGGCTGCTTTACATTGCTAAAGCATTGCAAAGCACCCAGGGCATACCAGGGAATCTGGATCAATATTTATTTTCTAGCATCCCACTGAATTATGCTGAGTTTCAGATCTGAATAGATTTGTGACATCTGGAAGGACGACTAGGGAATCTACTAATGCTACACAACAAATTCTTTTTAATTTCGTGACTACTTTGTCAAATTGTATTCCCCGTTTTTAAAAAAAAAATTTTTTAATCAGAATTTACCATAAGTAACTATTTCCAGTTACATGGGGCCTTCCAAAGGTTCCCAGAGCACACTGAACAATTTAAGCTTCATATCATCACTGGGATATACAATGTAGTTGTAGCTGTGTTGGTCACAGGATATTAGAGAAACAAGGTGGGAGAGTTAAGTAGAGGTTACTTACTGCAACTGAAGGTTCTTTGAGATGTGTGGTCCCTATCTGTATTCCACACATGGGTACACATGCACGCCATGTGCCTGAGTACAGAAATTCTTCAAAGCAGTCTCCATTGACCCGGCACATGCACAGTAACTCTCCTCATGCTCCCGACCGAGAGTATAAGAGGCAGTGTGGATCAACGCCATTCCAGTTCCTCTTCTTAGTGCAATCCAACGAGATCCAAAGCAGAGAAGATGGAAGGCAGGTAGTGAAATACAGATAGGGACCACACATCTCAAAGAACTTACAATTACAGCAAGTAATCCTCATTTCTTCTTCGAGTGCTGGTCCCTATGTGTATTCCATATCTGGGTGACTGTCTAACAGCATTCAGACCAGAAGATGATGTGAGGAAACTGACAGCAGAGAGGTTTGTAGTACTGCCGTTCCTACAGCTGCATTCACCATTGCTGCTTGAGTTAGAGAATAGTTTAATGTCAAAGTATGAACGCCCTGTAGATGTCCTGTAGTGGAACATCCAATAAGGATGTCGGGGAGGCAGCTTGTGTCCATGTGAAGTGAGCTGTGATATGCCCAGGATGGGGGAGCTTCGATGTTTTGTAGTGTTCAGAGATGCATCCCGAAACCCACTTAGATATCCTCTGTAATGATATAGCTTGTCCCTGTGACCTTTCTGACACAAGAACAAAGAATCTCTGAGATTTTCTAATGGGTTTGGTTCTCTGCAGGTAGAATGTCAGGACGAGCCTGATGTTAAGGGAGTGAGGTCTCTTTTCTCAGAAGAAGCGTGGGGTTTTGGGAAGAAGAGGAGGTTACTCACCCTGTGCAGTAACTGACGTTCTTTGAGATGAGTGTCCCTGTGGGTGCTACACTCCAGGTCAAGGTGCGTCCCAGTGCCTTTGATCGGAGATTTCTACAGTAGTACCTCTATGGGCCATGCATGTGCTGTGCCTGCCTCACAAGCTGTCAGTGTTTGAATAGCATGTGCATGGCCTGGGCTCCTCAGTTCCTTCTCTACAACGGAGTGCGTTCCAGATTCCGAAGTAGAGGGGAGGAGGGCGGGTAATGGAGCACACACAGGGACACTCATCTCGAAGAATGTCAGTTACTGCACCTGGTGAGTAACCTCCTCTTCTTGTTCGAGAGAGGTTCCTGTGGGTGCTCCACTCCAGGTGACTGAAAAGCAGTATCCCTTAGGATGGTTGGGACTTCGGATCAGGTAAGAAGGCTGTTGACAAGACAGCTCTACCCATCTTGATGTCGGATGCTGCAGTGTGCATGAGAGCACAGTGATTGGCGAAGGTAAGGTTTGATGCCCAGGTAGCTGCCTTGCATATGTCAGAAAGCGGGACATTACGGAGCAAGGCAGTGGAGGTGGAGACAGCTCTAGTGGAGTTCGTCCTAATTGATGTAGGAGGGTGTATTTGCCTCATTTGGTAACAAGAGACGTATGCAGTCAGAAATCCATTTGGAGAGTCTGTGTAGAAATAGCCTTTCCCTGTGATCGCTGAGTAGCAGAGACAAAAAGTTTGGTTTTTTTTCTAAATGGTTTTGTTCTATCCAGGTAAAAGGACAGTACCCTGCATACATCAAGAGTGTGCATTGCTGCTTCAAAAGCATTAGTGTGAGGTTTTGGGGAAAACGTTGGTAGGTGTATAGGCTCACTGAGGTGAAAGGAAGAGTGTATCTTAGGTAGGAACTTTGGATGTGTGCAGAGTGTGACCTTATTGCAGAAGAACGTGGTATACGGAGAGTCCGCCATAAGCGCTCCCATTTCTCCTATTCATCTGGCAGATGTGATTGGTATCAGGAAGGCGGTCTTCATGGATAGGTGGAGAAGGGAGCAGGTAGCCACTGGTTCACAGGGTTTGTCCATCAGGGTTTTGAGGACTAGGTGTAGGTCCCAGGGTGTAGGGGGCGGTTTTACGTCTGGATATAACGTCTGGATACCATTCAGGAACCTTTTGGTGATTGGATGGGCAAAGACTGTAGCATTGTCAATCTTATGGTGAAATGCAGTGGACCTTGAGTGAGCTCGTGGAGAGACCAGATGTTTTAAGGTGTAGCAGGTAATCTAGTATCATTGGGAGTGAGGCGGAAACTGGAGAGGTCTGTTTGTCAGTGCACCAAGATGTGAACCGTTTCCATTTATGCAGGTAAGTAGTGCACGTGGTATGTGTTCTGCTGTGTAGTAAGACTGTGTGCACTTGGTCCGAACAGGTTAACTCCTCATTAGAGAACCATTGATTAGCCAGGCCCTCAGGTGGAGACACTGTACGTCGGGGTGAAATAGCTGTCCCTGGCGTTTTGATAGGAGGTTGCTGAGCGGGGGAAGGGGAATCGGTGGCTTGACTGACATCCATGTGAGAAAGGGTGTCTGGACCATGCTGGGGCTATTAGAATGATGTTGGATCTGTCTGTTCTTATCTTCTGTATAACTCTGTTCAAGAAAGGTATTGGTGGGAACACATACACGAGAGTTTCGTTCCATCGGAGCATGAAGGCGTCTCCTCAGGAGTGTTTCCCCAGGCCTGCTCTGGAGCAGAATGTTGGGCATTTTTTGTTTATTGCTGTGGCAAATAGATCCAGTTGGGGATAACCCCACTTCTGGAAAATGTTGGATAGAATGGTGTCATTGAGTTCCCATTCATGTGTATGGGGAAGGATCGACTGAGCTCGTCTGCAGTGGTGTTCTGAGAACCTGGCAGGTACGAGGTGGAGATATGGATATTGTGTTGAAGGCACCAGTTCCATAGTTTTACCGCCTCTGTGCAGAGGGAGTGGGACCGGGCTCCCCACTGTCTGTTGACATAAAACATGCACGCGATGTTGTCGGTCATGATCTGAATTCGGCGGTTTTGGATAATGGGAAGGAAATGGAGGCAGGCATTGCATTTGGCCCTGAGCTCTAGCAAATTTATGTGAAGCTTGGTTTCTGTAGAGGACTGGAGGCCCTGAGTGGTGAGGTGGCCAATGTGCGCTCCCCAACCTGTGAGGGATGCATCTGTAGTGATGGTCATTGAAGGGGGATCTTGTCGGAAGGGAACCCCAGTACAGAGGTTGATGGGAGAGGTCCACCACAGAAGTGACTTTGACTTTCGGGGGCATAATTAGTCCTTGACTTTCGGGGCCATAGTTAGTAATTTGTTTAGCCTGTGCGTATTCAGTTTGTATACCGTGGCTAGACAACCCTGAAGGCATCGCATGTACAGGTGAGCATTTGTGACCACAAATGTGCAAGCGGCCCTGTGTCCTAAGAGCTGCAGGGAATCTCGGACTGTAGTCTGTGGGCTGGCACGTATCTGGGTAATAAGGGTGCCCATTGTGTGGAATCTGTCCTGGGGAAGAGAGGCAAGACCACTGGTGGAATCGATGTGGGCGCCGATGAAGTCAATTTGTTGGGTAGGTTGTAAGGTAGATTTGTTTTTGTTTATTTGCAGACTTATGGTGCGGAAGCAGTGGAGGGTTGTAAAAGTTGTGCGGATTGCTTCCAAGTGAATGGGGGATTTGGGG